CACACCCACACCCACACCCCACACTCACACCCACACCCACACCCCACCCTAATATAGGACTTCAGGACCCGAGGGTACCCTTATAATATAGGACTTGGGGACCCAAGGATATCCCCATAATATAGGACTTGGGGACCTAAAAGTACCCCTATAATATAGGAAATGAGGACCCTAGGGTACCCTTCTAATATAGGACTTGAGGCCCCAAGGGTCCCCCACAATACAGGATTTGAGGACGTAAAGGTATCCCCATAATATAGGAGATGAGGACCTAAAGGTACCCCCATAATACAGGACTTGAGGATCCAAGGGTACCCTCATATAATAGAAAATGAGGACCCAAGGGTACCCCCGTAATATAGCACTTGAGGACCCGAGACTCCCCCCCCCCCCCCCCTAGGATAGGGAAGGCAGATGAGGACCCAAGTATTCCTCCCAGGATAGATAATAGATAAGGACCCAGTCCAACTGGGATCCAGTCTACTGGAACTGGTGCATCCCTATTTCTGACAAAAATATTTTCCGAAAAATTAATGAAAGGATTCTCCACGAGTGGATTTCTCAAAAACAAAATTTCACGAAATGGTTTATTAGGTTAAAAGAGATCTTCTGAGTGATACATAACTCGTTCTGACCAGTAAAAATCTGTTCTCAAGCAGAAAAATCCCATGTCCGTCTGCTATGCGAAAGTTGCCCGCTGTGTGTCGTTCGACTTTGATGCAAAAAATGTTTGATCATATCTCTAAGAAAAATATCTTCTACAGAACCAATTCATAATGAACGAGTAATACGGGCATTGTGGTGTTCTTTGAGGCGCCCAAAATCCGCTTATTGCATCTCTATTGTTGAAGAAGACAGTAACCAATTTGACTGATAATAAAATAAATACCAAAAAGATCAAAATTGCTACAGGCAGTGGAATATCTATGCCAAAGTTGTGTTTCGCTTCGTATATAATCCATTCATTCTTTAGTGCCGCATATACGCCTCGTAGCCCATGCTCTCTGTTAGACAACACCATACGCCTCCACAATGTCTGGTGTTGTTTATAGAAATTGTAACATTCTCTAACCTCTTGCAGGCGCCAATGCCAGTGTGGCAAAGTTTCAGAAAGCATTTGTAATCCTATATTTATTTGTGGCAGTACGTAATTAAATATGCTTAGTTGCCAGCACATGGTGCCCATATTTACATATAAATTAGCAACACGCCAATCGTTCAAAGGGAAACGTTTTTGGAGCAAAGGAAGAGCTGCTTGATAATGAAATGCAGCATCAGAATACCGATGCAAAGATCTATAGCATGTACCAATATTTTGATGCCACTGTCCCCATTCAGGTGAGTCCTTTTGGAAGATTGTGCCATAGATACTTTCGATTCGCTGATATAATTCTAAGGCTTTATCAAAATTTCCCACGTTTTTATAACCAATAGCAGCTTGATTATAAAATGCTGCAGCGTATACAAGTTGATGCTCTTTCAATAGTGCTAATCCTTCTTCCGCTGCATTTATCATCTCTGAATATTGTTTCTGAGCAAAATAAATACTGGTTGCCGTACTTTGTAATTGTATCAGAGGCCATGAACCACCGGCTTCGTTGAGTAAATAATAAAATCGTTCTTCATTGCCTTTCATTCCATTCAGTTGTAGTATCCTTGACAAACCCTGCATATGATTATTGTATTTAATGTCTGAGCGTAGTCGTTCAAGTTCATCATCTCTATAACTTGTCAGTGTAAGTTGCACTAACCACCGACATTTATTTGCTGTCTGTGTTACGGTACCAATTTGAAAAATGCAGCCCATTACAAACAGAACTTCATTCTCCTCTCTTGTGGAACTCCTTTTACTTATATCAGCGAAAGGGCAATCTTCTACTTCCAGCGGCACAGTAATTATGTAAATAACTGATTCCAGCTCTGGCCGTAGCTGACCATTACCAGCAAAGATTTCTGCTATGTTGAGATCGAGCGTGGCTGATAAAAAACTATTGAATGAAGTGTAACCTCCTTGATTGTTAATCAGTTGTTCTAATTCAGTTTTCTCCATTGTTCGACCACGGTAGAGAGTAAGACTGTGCTGATTCTTCTTTCTTAATTCTTTTACATAATTAACGTGGAGTAGTTTCAGCTCATTATACAAGTCCTTGATGAAGAATCGAAAACGAAATATAATTTCAACGTTTTCCGTACGTAATGTGCGGTTCAACAGGCGATAGACAAAAGAGTCACGTGTATACCAGTATATAGCATTAGTCGGATCATACCAATCAACGAAGTCGTCAATCTTCTTTTTCTCTGTCTGGTCATCTTTATAGAACATACGTGCTTCATGCACAAGTTGTTTTTTGGCATTATCACCGACGGGAACTTTTTGTAGCAACAATGTTAAGAGTAGCTGGTACCAAATAAAGGTAACATGTGAAGACGTCAGAAGTACATTCATCGAATTTTCCGCAGGTGATGGAGTAAATACGGTAGATGGTGTTGCTGCCGCTGACATTTCGGCGGTGTGCTGCTTTAGGCTTTCACGCATTGAAGTTTTGTCAGAGAAAATACCGATTAGTTTAGGGTAATCACATAGCCATTCTGTGCCTGTATGCGAGTTCCTATTAAAATCGCAAATATAAATTAGTTCAATTATTTCAAGATGATGAACAAACGGTATAATTTTGCGCCCTGTATCAGTTGGCAGTAGGATCAAAACAACCTTTTCCCGATTTTGAGTAGCTTTCTCTAAATCTTCATAAAATTCTTTTATACGATAGAAGATATTAGTTGTGCCAAAGAGGTGTAGTGTTTGAGACTGAATGTCAGAAAAATCATCTATACGTGTATATGTATACTCTGCTTGAATTTCTAAAGGCATCAACCAAATGCAACGAACATGTGATAAGAAAAAGGATTGGTTATCAGGTCGATAATCTTGAAGTTTGGGTTCTGATCCAAAACTTCTGACTTCAGTATAGAAATAATCCTTGTTGTGTATATCACCATACAAATCAGTGAGTGAATAGTTTCCCGTATGTCTAGTGGGTCTTGCATCTCTAATTTGCTGTGCTAACTGATGAATAATAGAACAAGTTTCTTCCTCTGAAAGTGAATTCCCATCTTCATCACTCTGGCGATCAGGAAATGAATAATCTTCACCATCTCTACGTTCCATATCAGTTAGACAATTATTAGTCATTGTTTCCGAAGAGGGCAGGGACAAACGAATTTAATTTTGAAAAATGAGTTATAAGAAAAAATAGGCGATATATATGTATTGTAGAAGGTATGTATTGATAATGAACGTCAGAGAAAAACTAGAGAGATGACCAGCCAAAGCCAAACAAATTCGAGTAGAGTAAGGGGCAGAAGTAAAAAATGGTCGATTTTTACCAGACGTGCTTTATGGGTGCCTTCTTTTAGGAAGAAGACGGCTCATTTTTCTTCCATTTGGATTTTTCCATGTAGCGTTATCGGGAACTCATTTCAATCGAAGAAAAGGTTATATGATATTTTCTTTTGTGTTCTACCCCGTATAACCATAAAGACTTTCATTTTTATCCTTCCTGATAAGTGACTGAGTCATGTCATAAATAAAAAAGTCTTTTTTATATCGCCGAGCGAATGAATAATTCTTTTATAGCTGTAATATTTTTCTCTGTATGTATATGCGTGTCTTGTTCGCTGTATGTTCGGGTGTAACGAAAAGCAATAAAGTCTTTTGTCAATATTTCATATTCTTTTTTCTTTTTATACCAGCAAATAGGAAGAAGAAAATGAATTGTATTTCGTCTACAGAATCCTTTTTTCGACAGTCTTTTCACGGTTTTTTTAAATCTTTTATCTTGCGTTATTTCCGTTTCTGCTCACACATCTTCCACTTTTAGCCATTTTCTTGCACGTACGAAACTTATTTTTCTGGTTTTTTGCCCGTGTACTTTGGCTGACACCGAGTCAAACATCAAAATCGAAAACACAGATGCTCACTCTAGAAATTTTATCAATTGCGCGCGCGCTTGCAGTATATTTTTGATTCACTCAAATTTTATGCCGGCGCAGGCAGTTTCCTTTAAAAATGTTAAAATCTTGTGTGTAAACGCAAGGCAATAGCACTTGCAAAAACAAGTGAGGTTTCGTTCTTGCATTTGTTGGGAAGCAATATTCTTTCCAGTTTATGCAAGAAATATAATTTGCATGCAAAACTACAGTATTACCTGCGCGTACATGTATTGTAGGTATATCTTGCTGAATTCTGCTCCAGACGGAGAAAAAGTGCAGCTTTGGATTGAGGTACAAAAATGTACCGAACAATTTTCAATTATTTGAAAACTTTTCTTACATGTATATGGCATAAGATATATATCTTATCACTAGTGGCATATCCAGATGGGGACTAGGGAACCTCAGCCTCCTCTAGACGATTCTGAGCTCCCTCTATGAACGGTTTTTCTCTGCTTAAGAAAGCTCCGAGCACCCTCAGACGTATCTTTCGAGAGGCTTAGTCCCTTGAGGGTGTGGTGGGTGTGGGTGTGGGTGTGGATGTGGGTGTGGTGGGTGTGGGTGTGGGTGTGGATGTGGGTGTGGCTTGTAATCTTTTATTCTCTCACACCCACAACAACACCCACACCCACACCACACCACACCCACACCCATACCCACACTCACACCCACACCCCACACCCACACCCACAC